ATCTAAATCTAAACTGAACACAAACTTTCCAGATTTGTTCCCCATTACAAAGGCCTGGGCCCCTGGGGCTCAAGAAGGTGCTTATGTTAGCAAGAAGCAAAATACCTCAAAAGGGCACACACTAAAAATTCATTCGAAAGACTGGTAAAAATGAAGTATTCGTAATGTAAACCGCATGCGATTGGGTGTAATGGAATAGTTCATTATGGTGAGAAAGAAAGAAATACAGAAGAAGTAACAATGAAAGAAGTACAGGAGAAGTAACAAATCCTATTAAGATTTTCCCTTAAAAAAAAAATCAAGTGTGGTTCCTGACTTTAAATTTTCTATCAATTTTCTCATCATTGAAGACTTTGGGTAAGAATGAGGGAATGGTGTACTTCTGAGAGCTTTCCTATGACACATATATCAAATATCATTAATTTATCTATGTTGATCGAGCATTCATCTGACTATTACATAAAATCGAAAGGGAAGAATAATAGCACACCTTTGAGCATTTACAATGACAAAAGCTTCCAATGCCCATTTTGTGTAACATAAATTTGCCACGATCTTGGAAACATTCTGCTGAGATGCTAGAAGAGTTAAAACTACAGGAAAAAGTGCAGACCACTGCAAGAGCAAGTATAAATGCTAGTTAGAAAATGAGATATGCAATTGGTTTCTGGGGTTGAACAATGAGTCTCCGGTGAAAACAACGTACCAACTGTGCTGATCCTGGTTGGAAGCAGATAGCGAAAGTATACCCAATACCAGTCACACAGTAGACAAGCGCAATTAAAATAATATAATTATCCCAAAATGACGACCTAGGGTTGTTGAAAAAGTAGAACATAGAAAGAAAAACTATGGGTTTGATGATTGTATTGAAATGGTCGATTGTATCTCTAGCAAGGAAATAAGCTAGTGAGCTCATGCCAGAAGCTCTCTCCCTCCAGTACTGCAATTTTTCAAGTGAAAATGATCTCAAAGCTCCAATTTTGCATAGAAGAGCTGCAATCAAGTTCCAGGCAAGGTTAATGTTGGATTCAATATTTCACAACTTCATGAAAACAGACCTTGAGAATAATGGCATTTTAAAGCTAAAATGGCTTGAATGCTGCTTAACTGCACTTGCGGGCAAGGAATTACAAAGTTACATGATCTTAACTGTATTTATAGATTATAGAATCAAAATCTGCGTAAGTTGGGAAATATTTGTCAATTTAAACAGAGAGTAGAAATTCAGATGGTAGAATGATTGAGAAGGATCTCAAAGCATCTAAATGACAAAAAACAACAACAACAACAAAGCCTTTATACCAAAGTTTTGGTGCCGGCTACACTAATATTCTTTCATTCAGTTTTGCTACGGTTTATCTCCTCCATTAAATTAACTAGCACCATATCTTATAACTTCTTCTAAATGTTTGTGGCCTCTGTTGTACATGATCAAATTATATCAATGGAAGCAACCTCTTACCTAAAACAAATGCGCATATTTCTTATCCTATCTCTTAGTGTATATCCATGTTAAGAGGTATAAATTACAACCCAGTCCTCACTATAAATTCGAGTTGTGCTGTAGAGGGTCCTCTGACGACCCACAAGACTATCACAACATTCTCATTTCTTTTCTTTTTTTTCCCTTTTTTTTCGGGGGGTCAATATAACATCCTTGTTTCTGGTACACTCAGTTTTCACATATTGTTTCTTAATTGCCCAGCAAAGCATCTAAAGAGGATCATAAATCCTGAGTTCTAGACATTACAGGCCACTTTTAGTAATTATCAAAACCAGTGAATATACAATATGAGAAAGAAGAGCAGAACTTAAAAAGTTTGTTTTAATTTTAAAACCAGTCCAAGTTGGCATAAAAGGTCAACTTTATAATAAAGATATGGCATGAACAAGTTTAGAGCTGTCAAAGTTTTTCTTTATGTTCATGTATAATAAATTATCATTTTTGTTATTCTCCTCTATATATGAGCATTTTTGTGAATAAAAATGTCATGGGCATGCGCATGATGAAGTTTTCTGATGGAAAATGCAAGAAAGTAGTTTTCCATAAAGTAACAACAGAGTCATGACAACTATGCATAAGAAAAATGTTTGATAGTAATCCATGAAGGTCAGTAGACTCATGGTAATTCCTTAGAACTTACCCTTACAGATGTATATCAAAAGAAAATATGACAGGCAAGTATTTTTATGAAGAAATAAACAGTAACAACATAAAAACAGTTGTCACATTCAAAAGAGCAGTAATAACTAAACTACAAATCCCAAGCTAATTTTGTATTACTAGAACAAAAGTGCAAGGGCCATTGATGACTCATTAGTTTTTTCATAGCAATTCAAGATGACCCCACACTTTTGTTCCTTATATTTTAAAATTAGCATTGGATTTATAGCTTAGTTAGTATTATCCTCTACGAATATTTAATAAAGGAAATATCTAGAATTGAAATGCATTAAACAAAAAAGATTTTCTAAATCCATATAAAATGTCAATACTGATCAAAAAAAATAAAACACCGCTAGGATTCTCATAATCTCCATTGAAATTACAAAAGATAAGAGCTTTTGTTAGTAGTACTAGTGGAACGCATAATAAACAAGAGGATTTTGGTCACTAAAGTTTTAAATTTGTGCACTCAACAAAGTCAATCAAGCCAAGAATCCAATATTAAACAAGAGGCTTTTTCTTGAACACAAATAGAACATGTTTGATGATTAGACAAGAACACTATTGAGGAAATAAGCAGCTCTTAAGACAGAAAATGTGATGCTAACTTACAAACAGCAATGACAGTGTATGTGTAGCCCAATGCCCCAAAGGTATCATCATTCATTTTTGCAAGTATACCTAAGCATACTCCAGCAAGACCGAGAATAATATAATCAACTCCTTGTATCATAGCTTCACGAAGTCGCTGTTTGCCAACCCTAAGAATGATAAACCCATACAAAGTTAGCAGACAAGATCAAAGAATAAATTAAAAGTAGTCTGCCTGAAGATCTTTTGTGTGCAAGTGATGAGAATAAAAGAACATGACAGGATATTTACTACTAACAAAATTCATTACAGGTTAAAGCATATCAAAAGAACTTTCATTATGTTAATAATGTAAATGAAGTATATGATACTGCTTGCAAGTGATGAAGCATATGTTGTGAAAACTTACCTTCCTAAAAAGTACTTGTATTGTGTAAGAACACCTGGGGTTCGGCGGTTTGATAAGTCTCCATGATTTGAAAATACATACCCTAAATCATCTCTTTTTGTTTGCACACTATCCTTTACATTATCCCATACTTCACCAGCAACAGATTGTGCATCAGGGTCAATGCCAGCAGAATCTGCTCCGCTGCCTCTAACTGAGGATTCAGCTTCAGCATCATCAAGTAGCATATCTCGAGGGACATCATACCCATTATGTAGCATCCATCGCAAAGGAAGCTGCTTATAATTGATACCTGTGGTTGTGTTAGGCTTAACTATGCCCTCTAAGATGTCAATAAAATAGTCCGGAGGGTTGACACGGTCAGGGACGTTGATCCCAAGGCCTGAAAAGTACTCTTCAACTCTCTTCACTGATCCATGATAGACTGTAAGACCTCCTTTTGCAAGAAGTATCAAATCATCAAACATCTTGAATAGAGTATAACTGCAGATAGCAAATGGCTTGCCATTAGTTCATGGAGTGTCTCATAACAATATAAAAGCAGAAAAGAAATGCTCATGCTGTCAAATATTATGCTTGACAGAGAAAATTTTTAATTAAAATTTATCTTCCATAGGAGGATACTTCAACTGTAACTATTGCAAGTTACAAGTATACTTCCAATCTTAGCACCTTTCGGCCCATAATAACAGCCACATCTCTTAGCCTTGATTTCAAATTTTAACCTTTGTTCTCACTTAGTTGCTTTCAAATATCTTGGCATACTCCAAATCTGAACAAAAGGGGGTCAGTCATGCTCTGATAAGAGATCACATTTTAAGAAATGGCCATCGACATCAATATCCTAGTTTAGAGAAAACAGAAGTCTTTGCCAATACGGGTAAGCAAATGGCAAAAAGACTATTGAAATTCCATTAGGAAGTTACTTATGTTCAACAAATCTTAGAAATTACTTGTTTAATATAGCTTCCCATATGAATAGCCTCCAGTTTTCTGTTTGCTGACTAAATACGACAATACCACCAACCATTATGAACAAGTTTTTTAGGACAAAATAGAAAAGGATGGATTATCATACATTTAAGAAACGCAGAATCTAATGACTATTAAACAACCTGGGCTGGTGAACGACCATGCAGATGTTTACCCCTTCAGCAGCTTCACGACGAAGAGCTCTAAGAAGTAGCTGAGACGAAGAACTATCCAGACCGGATGTAGGTTCATCCAATATCAAGAGTGATGGTTCCATAACCATTTCCAAACCAACATTTACTCGTTTCCGCTGTCCACCAGAGATGCCTCGCTTCTCTACAGTTCCAACTAATGAATCCCTGATAGCTTGCAGCCCTAAGGATTCAATAACTCTTTCTACAACTAGAACTTTTTCAGCTTTGGATAGGTCTGCAGAAAGCCTACAACATCAGTAAGAAATATGGTCATGTAGTTGATGCTCTAAAAATAACAATGCTTAATATATTAGGCTTCTGAGAGAGGGGGTGAAAAAAAAAAGAAGTCAGCATAATTGATGGAAATATAGAAATTTTTCCCAGCAACTGAAGATGGAAATTAAGTAACCATTTTGAAAATTGAAGGAAATAAGATGAATACATGGATAGGTATGCATCTGGAACTCATGAAAAATAGCACTGATTAAAAAACAAACATTCCAAATCTATCTTTCCAGAAATAAAAGCCAGATGATTTTAATTTCAGGAAATTATCTAACTATCAAATAACATCAATAAGAAAATACAAATAGAGATCCCCATGCCAAAGAACCAGATATAAAGTTTTAAAATAGCTTTATGCATGAAAGTCCGTTAATATGGTCCTAATGTTTTAAATATCGGTTATCGGAAATATCTCAGATGGCCAAAATTCATATCGGATCCTAGTTATCGGGATATATCGGGGATAAGTAGTAAAAATCAGAGTGTTACATCGGATGGTGAGCATATATAATATAATGTCTTAAAAAGTAATCTAAGCACATTTAATGAAACATAAACATACTAATATGTAGCATATATAATATAATGTCTTAAAAAGTAATCTAAGCACATTTAATGAAACATAAACATACTAATATGTAAATAACACATGTTTATAAAAAGTAATCTAAGCACATTTAATGAAACATAAACATACTAATATGTAAATAACACATGTTTAGGATCGCTTACCAATTGTTTTTGTTTGGTGGAAGCAAAATAGAATAGGATTGTATTGTTTTTGTTTAGTGTATGTGGGTCGAATATGGGAAAAAAGAGGGTTTTTTTTGTCTCCAAACGAGAACCAGTTCACTTAGAATGTAAATTGTATAAAATCGGGTGATTTTAGCTCACAAAAAATCGGCCGCTTTATCAGATTTACACTGATATATCGGGAAAAATCAGCCCAAAACTATATGCAATATATTTTTGCAAAAATCGTATCGGCCATGGCCCAAACCCTATATATCGGGGATAAATAGATAAAATCGGCCTATATTTAAAACATTGTATGGTCCTAATTATGCCACTTCCACCCTAAGGACAAAACTAGTTTAAGCAGAGGTTTCAAGTAAGGTTAATATTCAGTTGTAACTTGTAAGAAACAAAGCCAAGAGATGTATATTTCTGTTCTCTTAAAAAGCTTTATGAATTTAAACCAATGTCTACAAAGAAAATATAGAAAATGGATCAAGATTCTTCCTTCAGAGGTTGCTCAGAGTATACTATTGTAATATAACTGGTTAAATATTGAAAAAATACTATGTGATGCTAAAACTGACTTCATACCTGCATCTTGCACTGAACCAAAGATTCTCCTCCACTGTCAGGTTCCCATGCACAATATCATCTTGTGGTACAAAACCAATGATTTTTTTATATGAACGAATCGGTTCTTGTTTCCCATTTATGAGAACTAAACCAGTCACATCACATCCTGTTGCTTTTCCAGCAACAGCACTTAAATACGTAGTTTTTCCAGCACCTGATGGGCCCATGAGAGCAGCTATACGGCCAGGCATAAGTTTTCCCGTCACACACTTTAAGAGTTTTTTCTTACTCCCTTTTAAAGTTAACGAGAGGTCTTTGAAAGCAATCTCAATCATAGGTCTCGTACCTGTATTGTTTTCAGTTGCCATGGAAATTACTCCTGAAAAACTTAAATCATCATTTTCCTGCTGTTGGGCTTTTTCCTTTTCAATTTGACCATATGCATACTTGAAGATTTGACTACGAGTATGCATTTCCTTAGCAGTAGGAACATTCTTCTTCAAGTTTTTATTTCCTATTTCAATATTAAAGCCTTCATCATTGTCAGGGTTTTCTTCAAGTGAACGCATCATTTTTGTCAAATTGCTTGCTTCCTTTTTCTTTGATGCTTTGCTTGCTGACTCTTGCTTAGTTGTCTTCTTGCGGGAAAATGTCCGAGATAATGATGTCTGAAGTCCAATTGCTGATTTCTTTGCAACATCTTTAGCAGATTTCCACTTTTCACGAGCTTGTACAGTTTCTCTCGCATACTTAGCAGCCGCTTCCCTGGATTTGGCTTGCCTTCTCTCACGATTACTCAGAACGTGGCCAGAGAAGTTATATATAACTAACAACAACAAGCATAGAGCAGCCTGTAGAGGGAATAAGAAAAGGGAATTCAGATGAATACAAGCTAAAAAGCTGAAAAATAAACATAATTTTAACAAAACTAAAGTACTGCAATAACTTCAAATAACACAAGAAAATTGTTGGTAATGGAATAATTACAGAGGGAGAAACACATTGGCATGTTCAAGACAACACTAAGCCTTTTATTGTTAGAGATAAATTGATGCTGAAATAACAACTTTTCCAAAAAAAATTTGGCAAAGAATGGCAAAACTTTGGTATAGGGGAATGTTATAAAACTCAGTAGGCTCCATAGGAGTCCAAAATTTGTATGAGAACTTTCGACGCCCACAGGAAGCAGGCACGTGATGCAGGTGGATATTCCACTATCTTTTATTCAGAAAAGAAGCAAGAGTCATCTTGAGATTCACTAGGCATGTGCACCACAAACTTCAATGTTTTGACTATAACTCTGTATAAAATACTCCAAATGACTCTGTCTGTAGCATTGGGAAGTAGACCTTATGCTGAAGGCAGTTCAACATTCAAGAATCAAAATTTTAAAGAGTAGTTTGGCTGAGAAACGAGTGGCTTGCTTGCGTTTAAAATCCCACAAATTCTCCTTTTCTTCTTTTTGTTTGTTTGCATGGAAAGTTGGATAAAAAGTTAGACGTGCGGTCTATTTCTCACTTTCTCCCTGAAGTCCTAGTGAGAGGAGAGAAATTCTGACAAAGGATTTTGCTATATGGCAGCAATGTCCAACAAACTTATCTATCAAATTCTGTCAAAATAACCCAGACATTTTGACGTGGTAATTTGTTTCTGAAAAAAGTATTAGTATGGGACCCGCTTTTTCAAACAAATATTGCCTTGATATAATTACTGTGCGTTATAGTTCGTTACTTGTTTTCGTTTGGGGGCTAAAGTCAGGTATACTGGTCAATAATGTCCAAATGTCACATGTTCTATAAGACCTCTTCTGGCTCTCATTTATAGCCAAGCCATTTTGTGTGTGAAGTTGAACTTTTTCTATCTTCAATTCCCATGGTGGATTCCTTCAGTTCATGAGTTGTATCCTGGTTAGTTGAATGAAATCCAAGGTGGTGATATTCTGCACTGTAGTTCCTAGCTTCCGATCTTAGTGGGGACTACAGTCTTACAAAGATCATTCCATGATTTACACTACCAGCTCTTCACATTGAGATCCACCATCTCTTTCCAGTGGGATCCCAGTTTCATTGCCCTTCCGTAGTTTCTCAATACTACTTTCAATCTTCATGATTGTTTCAAATGAGCAGGCTTTGGCTTATTGCTTGCAACTGTCTAAAGTGCAGAATCATATCCTTGTTGAGGAAGAGGATAAAGAAGTTAAGGAAAAACAAGAAATCACTTAACTAAAAGATGAAGAGGTGGTCCAAGCAGCAGGCAAGACGTTGGTGGTAGGAAGTAGTCTAAGCTACACTGTAGCGATGCTCGATGATAATTTGTTGCACCATAACATCTTTCATACATGAAAAAATATGCAATGCTATTATTGATGAAGGATTTGTGAACTTTCATACAAGAAATACGTTAGATAATAAAATATGCAATGCTATTATAGCTGAAGAATTTGTCAAAAAATTCATTGCTACTTTCATATGGTCGACAATATGAAGCTGTCAACTAAGGACCATCCAAGTCTCTGTAAGCTATAATCAGAAAAGAGAAGTATCAAGAACTCTCTGAAATATCAGAGAGGCAGCAGAGATATCAAATGTTCAAACCTATTGATGATGGAACTGTGAAAGTCATTGCTACTTTCATATGGTCGACAAGATGAAGCTATCAACTACAGACCATCCAAGTCTCCATAAGCTATGATGGTTGGAACTCCTCCCTAAAAAATTACAGATGTCCTTCCCGATGAGATCTTAGGTTTATCACCTACGTGGGAGCGAAGCGGGAAGACAGCTTAAGATTTGCCAAATTTTAGTGAGCTTTAGCAGCAAAAGACGCCGAAGTTTTTTTGAAACAAAACAATAAGAAGGCAGTAAGAATGGACAAAATCAGAAATCAAGAATTTACATGAAAGAGGAAAGTAATTGATGTTAAAGTTTTAATAAGAACAATAAACATCAATTGAAGATGATACATACAGTATATAAATCGTTTAAATATTGAAACCAGGATAAAGCATCTCAATGTAAATTAACTTCCATAGTGGATATAATCAAATATGATGCATCCTACAGATGAAAGAAACCTCTTTTAATACTCCTCATGGACATTCAATCTTCTGGATGCACTATCACGAATCAAGTCTCCAGATCATTCATTGAATAAGCTGTTGCCATGTACTTCGATTACATCATCGTATACAGAAAAAATAAGGAGTGTCTACTGCACTTACAACAAGTGTTTGAAGTCTTAACTCTTAAGAGATAAAAAGGCTCCTTACAACTCAAGATGTTAACTACTTACTAGCAAAGGTGGTGTTCTTGAGTTATGGCATAAAGATGGTTTCTAGCAAAATGGAAGCCAATACGAGGTGGTCACAACAAAGACTCTCCATTAAGTTCAAAGTTGTCATGGCCTAGTTCCTGTTATAGAAGATTCATCAAATATTTGAGTTCTATTTCAGTACCAATCATCAAATGCATGAAAGGTGAGCCGTCAAATTGACCTACAATGCACGAATGATTTTTATATCGCTAAAGAAAAAGATCATCAAAGCACCTATTGCCTCTTTGTAACTTGAGCTTGTATCCAAGATCGATAAGATGCTTCTAATGTTGGCAGTTTGGCACAAATGTAGAACTTAGACAAGGAGGACAGCCAATTAGCTTCTCTAGTGAAAAGCTTGATGGTGCAAAGCTCAAGGACTCCATATATGCAAGTCTACATGCCTTGGATAATTGGATCTATTATTTATTATCAAGGTGTGTGTTGTCTACTCTGGTCATGAGATATCCAAGCACTAAAACTTTTCAACAGAAGCACAATCGACGATATGTTGTTTTGAGTAAAGTGATTCAATCTTTTTCATTTCTACTTAAGAATAAACCAGCATACAAAACTGTGTAACAGATGCTTGAAGTCGATGACAATGCTCCGTTGTTCTCTCTGCAAATAAAAGTTGTATGTTCTTATTCAAGTTATTAAGGACTTGTACAACAAAGTTCCAGATTTTAGAGATATCTAGAAACCTACAAGTGAGAATTATATCAACAATCTCACTGCCACAAAGGATTCTTATCCAAGGAAGTATATTACCATCATAAACGTATTCCAGCATATAGACTACGACAATTAGAATTCCACGTGATAGTAGGACAATGGATCATAGATTTCCAGCTTTGAAAACAAGATGTTATTCAAATTAAATGACAAGTAATTGGAAGATGCTTACCATGACTAAGGCTCCAAATAAAGTAATATTTTGATTTTCAGAATTTGGCTTACAGGAGCTCTTGTAAAAACAGCCTGTAGATCCACAATCAAATAAAGATCATACAATTAGACAATAGCTAAATCAAACACATGTGCCTTAAGTACAAAGATGTTCAAAAGCAAGGAAGAACTAAATCAATTTTCTACACATCAAACAAATTATTTCTTCCAATCTAGGAGTTGGGAGATGAATACACAAGTAAAAACATATGGAAAGGGAAAGTAGCATTGCTACAAATAATACATATAGTAAAATACAGACCTGTAAAGCTAGTATACAACACAGCAGGGCACTACCATTAAGTAAATACATTAAGTATGTAATACAAGATTTCAATTTTGATCTAAATGTGAACGGGAAACAATAAGATTAAAACAAACAACAACCAAAAAAGAACTTATAGCAATAGATCTACCAGGATCAAAAAAACATTTATATTGTGCAAAATTGCATCAAGAATGTCAAAATTGTTTCTCCATGAAGAAATCACAATAAGCAACTATACAAAGAATTCACGATTTACTACTTAAAAAGAAGCAGAACAACATAAAAGTTAATTAAGTATTTAATACTGTAATGAAAGTTTCACTTAAGGGAACTACAGTGGGATTACAGCATGGGTTCACGCTCATCTCATGGCCTGCTTCTCCTGAAGAAGTCACAATAAGGAACTACGCAAAGAATTCACCTACTGAAAAAGAAGCAGAATAACATAAAAAGTTAATTAAGTCTTTAGTACTGTAATGAAAGCTTCATTAAGGGAACTACAGTGGGATTACAGCATGGGTTCATGTTCATCTCAGGGCATGATCTTTTAAAACAGGCGTAAAATTCTATCAAATTACTGAATTTCCAAGGAACACGTTTGCAGTTTGGGAAAAATAAAAAAATTAAAATATTAAAAATTAAAATAAATAAATAAATAAATAAAACCAGCGTTAATTGCCGCTTATCTCCCCACTCCAGTCTATAACATTCAAGGTAGCCATCCAGGTTAACTCGCTGACTTTTTTTAATTGTATGTCTCGGGGCCCATGAAAAAAGCATTTCAGAAAAAAGTTTGGTAAATACCTGGGAGCCACAGACTATCACATACAAGGTAGCCAACTGGGTAGCTTACAGACTTATGCCGCGGGACCCTTGAACACCATTCAAGAAAAGGTTTGGTAAATACAGGAGGGCAAGTGATAAGGCAAGACCCCAGTCATATGGTCCTGCAGGAATGGCCAAAGGCGCATCCCAGAAACCAGCAGGTTAGCCAGGTGCTACAAGGACAAAACCTAGATCCACAACTAGGAGACTGGGTTAATCTCCAGGTTTATACCTGTTGCAGTATGCTTCAATGCTATTCCTGGAGCAAATTAAGGACATTAGCGCTCACGATTTGTGACTCTTATCTGGAGGAGGAGAATATGACATACCTAGGAATGCTCTAATGGTGGTTAAGTTACTTTCACTCTAAAAGTTCTAGTATAAATTAGATAAAATAATTATAATTAAAAAACTTATAAATTTGGAATCCATCACAATCAATGAGAGGGAGAGAGAAGAAGATAGTAGGTTGCAAGAAAATCAATATATAATTAAGGGTTAATTTGGCTAGACGCTCGTACTATTGCCCACTTGCTGTGAGACCAACGACTAAAATGTTTTTAACTTGTTTATGTTAGGAGGTCTATTTTTCAAAAATAATTTATTTTTCTCTGAGGGTAAAAGAGTGGAACATATTCACTCAGGGGGTCTATCTGCAACAATAGAACTATAGGGGGTCTATCCACAATCGGGCAATAGCATTGGATCAATCTACAATTTAACCCAATAATTAATTTATAGAAGTTCAAAAGTCAGCTGTCTAAGAAGTTGTCAAGTCACAACCAAGGGGTTTATTTTAGTATATAGTATAGATAGATCAATAGGGATATAGGTGTGATGCCACGACTAACTCCAAGACGAGGGCCCGTAGGGCAATAATGTTTTCATCACTCCAGTAATCAAGGTTTTGAATGGCTGCCGACATGTCAGTTTGGGAGCTCCAATACCACAAAATCATGCTTTCAAAGACATATGGCGTTTTGAGGACAAATATCGGGATATGAGAGGACATAGCGGCCAATAGGCTAATTTTTAAGATCTTACTCTTTCAAACTTGAGTTTAGAACCCAAAAGCCAAAGCTGATCATCCAATTGTTCTGCCCAAATTTAAAAAATCGGATTGCCAAGTCTAGGGCAAAATCATGCCCCAAAAATAAAGTGCTCTGCTCCTCCTTCGCTTCCTCTATAAGAAAATCGATGGAGAATTCATCGCTGAATTCTGACGTCGGCTTGAGGTTTCGGTGATGAAGGGTTTTAGGATATATATATATATATATATATATATATATGAGAATTAAAATTTAAATAACATTTCTTTGTTTTCTTTATTGTGTAGATTATAAATTGGAAAGCTGCTCATTTTTTAACTACATATCCAAACGGCAGTTTAAAATCATAGTTCTAAACTACGTATGAATTGAGATAACCCGACTCACTTCTAATGAATTTCAAGAAGTTGATGTAAAATATAGTATATACTTACAAGAAGTGTATGGCAAGTGTTATATACATATATGGTATAATTGAGTACACACCCTGAATAAATGTATGCATATATTCAAGGACTGTCCAAGGAAGTGTCGATGCAAGAAAGGGCAAGCGTGTGTCGGACATGAGCGCGGGTTAACATAGAAGTGTCCAGGAAACATGGGTCACAACAAATCAGAGCTAGCATGTTTGGAGCAAACAGTGAGACTAAGCTTAAGGGTGAAGTGTAACATAGTGGTAGCCAAGAATTATCCCACCTAAATGGGAACACCTAAGCGGTAACAAATCTGCAAAAATTGCTAAAAGTAAAGGGAGGTAATTCCAGATAGGTAAATTTACCCCTCTCGGTTTATAGTTTTATGTCTACTTATGCTAAATAACACATCATTAAGGTAGAAAGAACAATTGTACAGTACAAGTTGGACTGAAAAAGGTGATATCCTTAGAGGGAAGGTACTGAGTACACAATAAGTCAATGTCTAAAGTATGATTTGCAAACTCAAATATAGTTATAAGAGACAAGGTGTCAAACACTGCTTGACAACATAAGAGACATGACAATTAAGGCATATTTCTCCTAATATATGTATATTTGTGATTTAGGAGGATCCTTCTATTCCATCAAGGAGACTAAAATTGTGGCACCTTGTAGAATCCTATTACAACTAGGAGTATGAGTCCTATTATAAGTAGAAGTATTGTGTCCTATTTGTATTAGGAGTATTGTCCTATTGTAATTAAAAGTATGAGTCCTATTACAACCAGGAGTATGAGTCCTATTTGTATTAGGAGTACAAGTCCTATTGTAATTAGGAGTATGAGTCCTCTTGTGATTCGAAGCATGTCCTATTATGATTATAAGTCTGTAGGATCTAAATTACATAGAGTTCTATCTTCACTAGGAGTATGTAATTACGGATTTAGGAGTCATATTCATACTGATTAAGTGTTGTAATCCTATAAATACTGATTACAACTCATACTGGGTGTTGTTTAAATAGCAATTCTGTAGAAGAATTCTATTTAAATAGCAAGTCCAATTCATATAGTAGCCATAATCATAATGCTATTCACATTTGATATCTCTATTTAAAGAGATGAATTGCAATTTGTAAATCAAGTTAGTCTAGAAGCAATACAAGAAAACCTTAGGAGAAGAGTGTTGCTCGCTCCACCAAAAATTTGTCTTTATGTTTTGTTCTTGTAGTTGTAATTCTCTTCTACCTTCTTTTTATTCTATCCAATGCGTCGCGTGGACCAATTGGTATCAGACTAATAAGATCCTATTGTGTGGGTTTACTGTGTATGGTCGCAACTCGACAAAGATCATATGACATTGGAGTTTGATCACATCAAGTGCTCAACCGACAATAGCGACAAATATATCAACAGATGGCAGAAGACGATCTTGCATCACGGATGGCTAGATTCAAGGTACGCATGGATTCTTTGACGACTATGATGGAAAAGGTGTTGTTCCAAATTTTTTTCAAACCCCTCTTCTTCTAAACCAAACACTGAAGATTCTGCAAAAGATGTTAGATTTGCTGAATCAAAGAAAGGAGTAGTTTTAGATAATGAAGATAGGGGAAAAGAAGAGAAATGAACTACTTCTACTAGTTTTGGTTCGACAACCATGCAACCTCTCAAAATGGAGGCCAAGATTGATATTCTTATATTCGATGGAGTGGTTGATGCAGAAAAGCTAGATAGTTGGATAGGTCAGTTGGAGACATATTTTACTATCTATGGCTATACTTTAAAACAGAAAGTTTGTTTTGCAAGACTAAAATTAACAAGTCAGAATTTTTCATGAAACACCACAACGCGTCTACCATAAACTGGAAGAACTTCAAAATCGTTATCCCCAAGCAGTTTTACCCTGTGAGGCACGAAGAAGACCGATGGATCCGATGACAATATCTTAAACAAAACTACGTTTTTCATAAGCAAGCTATCTTGAGTATACCACTGATTTTCATAAGCAAGCTATCTTGTTAGGATTACTAATAGACGACCAGGAAATCTTGATGAAGTACATTGGACGACTGCATGAATCAATTCGAAAGAAGTTAAAGTTATTTTTAGTCTCAAATATTGAGAAAACTAGCAAGAAGGCTACTGCAATTGAAGGGGACAACGTTAAAAATTTCAGGAAGTATGACAACGTTAAAAATTTTAGGAAGTATGACAAATTGAAAGTGAAGCCGGACTCAAACAATGAAAAGCAAGAGGAATCAAGTAAGAAGCAATCTCATGTAACTCAATAGAATTTTTGTGATCATTGTGATAAAAGTGGTCAGACAAAGGAGAAGTCTTAGCTACTTCATCTTGAGATGAACATGCGAGGCGATAAGAAAGATGATTGAAGAAGCAAGGGAAAGTCCACACTGCATATTGATGGCGCTGAAGAGTTGCCAGAACTACAAAAGGGCGATAGAGAGGTTTGATT